AGAGAAACCAAAAGTTTCACATAATGGATCAAAATTTAGAATGGATCTGACTTCTCATTAGCATCACTAGAAGAGAAAAAACAGAAGATTCAGTAGTAAAGTAGAGGCACAGGTCGCAAAGTCTATATCAAATGCACCCTTTCAAAGGAAGCTACCGTGAGAGGTGTCCCAACAAAAGAAACCAAGAGAAAAGGTGACACAATAAAAATAGAAAAGAAAATCTAAAAGGAGATTCCAGGTTAAAAACTGTACAACCAGGTCTTGAGAAAAATCAGGTTACACTGGAGCAAGTCAAATGACATGGGAGTGATGTCACCAGGAAGATGATATTGACAGAATCACTAATTTAGCTGAATGTACCAAAAGAATATTTAGACATGTGAAGATGAGTCTGGGGTTAAATTAATTATAAATACATTAATGATAACATAGAAAACTTTGTAGGACAATAAAACAACTCGAGAAAAAATGATTTATGAACAAAACTAACCATTGTACACTTGCACGATTTGCCCAGGAAAAGAAATTACATGGTCATAAAGATATAAAAACTGAAGACTGATCTAAGTATGAAATAGCTTGATTAGGATGATGGAGGTATGGGAAGAGAGTGTGTGTATATTGGAGAAGAGGAAATCTTTACCCTTCATACTAAATAATTAGAGGAGAAAATCAAGGTGTAAGATAATAAGTCGTTTATTTAGAAAACATGGAGGTAAATACCATAAGAAAGAGCTAAAAGAGATGAAATTGTTTTTCTCGGGGTGGGGAGAAATGAAAAACAGAAGGGGCAGGGTGGACAGAATGCTATTTAAACATAAAAAAACTCCAAAATCCAAAAATACAACGTGAATAGGGAACTAGACAGAGGACTAAGTCCTCAGTCATAATCACAAATATTTGGAGGTTGAATAGATGAGAGAACGGGTAGAGTTGACCTAGGTATCACAAAGTAATATGCTGACCAAGGCAATGGACAGAAAAGGGTATTAAGAGAACACAGAAGCAGGTCAGATTTGAAGATAGCAACATCACAGAATCTTAATACCTCATTTCAGGTTTCCCTATATCCTAAATCTGAACCGTCTTATTCATTTTGTACACAACCTCCAAATTTTATTTTCCCAAACATCAATTCCCAACTGGGACAGTACCCACACCCATGCAGTGAGAAATGAACATGAGCATGTCTGACCATTACAATGGCTTTGGAGGGAGTATTACTGGCTATTACTGGGTTGGCCAAAAAGTTCCTTCGGTTTTAAAGTAAACATAGAAGATACATTTTTTATTTTCACCAAGAATTTTACTGAACAACATATTCACCATTTTGTTCCACTACCTTCTGCCATTTTTCAGACAACTTCATAATTCCATCTTCCCAAAACTTTTTATCTTTTTGGGCAAAGAACTGTTCCAGGTGCCTTTTACAGTCTTCCAGGTAATTGAATTTTTTTCCATTAAGAGAATCTTGTAAAGACTGAAATAAATGGAAATCCAAAGGCGCAGTGTCTGGTGAATATGGCAGATGAATCAGAACTTCCCAGCCAAGATGTAACAGTTTTTGCCTGGTCATCAAAAAAAACATGTGGTCTTGCATTATCCTGATGGAAGATTATGTGTTTTCCGTTGACTAATTCTGGATGCTTTTTGTCGAGTGCTGCTTTCCGTTGGTCTAATTGGGAGCAGTACTTGTTGGAAGTAATCATTTGGTTTCCCAGAAGAAGCTCATAATAGAGGACTCCCTTCCAATCCCACCATATACACAACATCATCTTCTTTGGATGAAGACCAGTCTTTGGTGTGGTTGGTGGTAGTTCATTTCGCTTGCTCCACGATCTCTTCCGTTCCACATTATTGTACAGTATCCACTTTTCATTCGCCCGTCACAATTCGTTTTAAAACTGGAACATTTAAGTAGAGAATCGCATTTGGAAATATAGTCAAGAAGGTTTTCTCCCTTAACTTATATGGAACACAAACATCAAAGCAATTAACATAATCAAGCTGGTGCAAATGGTTTTCAATGTTTGATTTGGATATTTTGAGTATTTCGGCTATCTCCCTTGTGATATAACATTAATTTTCTCAATTAATGTCTCGATTTAATTGCTATCAACTTCAACTGGTCTACCTGACAGTGGAGCATCGTCCAGAGAGAAATTTTCAGCATGAAACTTCGCAAACCACTTTTGACATGTTAGATCAGTCACAGCCCCTTCTCCATATACTGCACAAATCCTTTTCTGCATTTCAGTTGCGGTTTTACCTTTCTTGAAATAATACAGTATAATAGGCCAAAAATGTTGCTTTCTTCCACCTTCAATATTAAAATGGCTACACAAAAATTCACCAATTTTGGTAAATTTTTTTTAATGCATGCTGATACGACAGCTGTCCCAATACAATCTTACAAAACTGTTTCGAATGAAGTTAAAGACAACTAAGTGCTACTAGAGCCATCTTATGGAAAAAACTGAACGAACCTTTGGCCAACCCAACACATGGTCTTAAAGTCAGAAGTGTTTCCATCAAGAAGACAACAGGCCAGTGAGTAATTAACCTTTGCCCTCAAATCATATTTGCTCATGTTTGGCTGTCAGTGTTGTCCCTGCAGACTCTGAAAGTTCATGGATACTGAATCTGTCAGTTTCTGTACTTCACCCTTCCAATCCTTCTGTTGCTGGCACCACACTCCTGCTTATTTTCCCTTGGTTCCCACATCTCTGGCTTCCTTCATTTCATTTCCAAGGAAATCTAATGAATTTGCTGTTGAGCATTTTCTTTGCAAAAATAATTGCGAAAAATTAGATCATTGCTGGTATCTCAAGGAAGAGCACAAAGAATTCAAGAAACAAGGACAGAATACCAGAGCCAGCGAGTAGAAGACAGGAATTCACAAGATTAAAGATTATTTAAACATGATTCAAGACTGTATTAAACATGATTACTGGCTGTGGCCCATCATGAGTTTAGCCACAGAAGACAATGGAAGAGGAAATCATGCTAAGCCAGCAGAACCCGGGCTCACCAGGCCACGGCCACAGCAGGAAGCCCTGGCACAGCCTGCCCAGCCCGGGTTCCAATGCTTCCCTGTTGTGCCACTCCTGCTGCTCTCCCAGAGCGAGGTTCCTGTTGTACCCACCCTGCACTTCTCTCTGCCACTCTACCTGTCTGGCTGGTTGTATGTGGATAACTTATCTTTAATTATAGATCACCAGACCATGAAGAACCACCACGTCTGATTAGAAACAAGGATCCTAGACTTGCATTAATATACTAGAAGAATGACAAGAGGGGTGATAGAATATTTTTGAAGATGAATGGATGGAAAGAAGGGTGTGACTGGATGATGCCTAACCAAAGAGGTAGATGGAGGTGGACAGTGCTGCCTACCCAGCCGTTCTGCTGCCCTTTTCCTGGCTGGCAGACACCTGATCTTATTTCCTACTTCCATTTGTAAGGCCATGTGCTGCAGTTAGGAAAATGGGACCCACTTCCATACCCCTGCCGAGAGTGAAGCATGATAGAGCTGAGCCGACAGTGATGGCCCCGTTTCCCTCACCAGAGTCTTCTTTCCACAGGGATATGTGATAACAATCTAGCCTCTGCTCAACATGGTAAGTCTGCTGGGGCTTCCTGAAATAGATTTTAATGCCTGATTAAAAGGGCCATGTGGGAAGAAACAGTCTTTCTTATTCCACTGCCCACTGGTATACCTGCAGGTGTTGGCTGGAACTGTAAGAGGCATCTGATGACCATGAGGGGAGGAAATCTGAGAAATACTGACATAGTTAGAATGGCGAGGCAGAGATAGACGTTTGGGGATTTAGTAAGTCAAGCAGTCCCACATCAGGACATTTTCTGATGTGTGGTAATAAATCACTTCTGCCTAAATAGTTTGATTTAGGATTAATCAAAAATTGCAGCTGAAACAATCCTAATAATACAAAGATTAACTGTTGATTTATCCTGTCACACTTATGACAGAATATATAGTTGCTTAGGGAAATATATCTGACAGTAACATCAGGATGAACTCACAGTATAAAAAGAGTAAAAGGTATAAATTTGGCTAATAAGTAGAACAAGCAAGAAATGAAATAATGGAATTCCCTGGCGGTTCAGTAGTTAGGACTCCATGCTTTTACTGCCAAGGGCCCGGGTTCAATCTCTGGTCAGGAACTAAGATTCCATAAGCCGTGTGGTGTAGCCAAAAAAAAAAAAAAGAAAAAAAAGAAAATATTGGGAATTATCTCATTCCCAATGAGAAGGAGGTGGGAATTGAGAAGATGGAGGCCTTAAAAGACTTATTTTTGAAGGACCAAAATACTAACAGATTATAGCAAGACTAGCGAAGAGAACTGCATAAAAAGGATATTTAGGCTCACGCCCCAGTGCCAGGAAGAAGAACCAGGAGCACAGCAGAACCAACAAACAGGAAGGTGAGAAGAAGTTATCATACAGCTACGGGGCAGCAGAAGAGACATTCCAATTCCAGTTTCTGAAAAATGAGACAAGGGAGTGGCCCATGCAGGGAAGATGTCCCGTGGGACAATCAAACCCAGTACCAAAGGACAGGTGAAAAAGGGATGGGGCTGTCAGTCACCAGTACAGAAAGAAAAAGCTTAAATCTTCAGAGTGGAAGTCTTTTAAAATTTACAATATACGAGGAAAGTGGGGAATATAAGAAAGACCCCTTTGGACTCAGAGGAAAGAGCATGCGAGGGCAGTAAAGCATGAGGAGAATAAGCACTGTGTCGTGCAGTGTGAGAGTGGGTTCCATGGGGTTCACTTGAGTAAGGCGTGGGGGAAAGGCTTCAGGCAAGAGAACTGATATTATCAAATGATGCAGGAATACACTCAGAACAGTGATGACAAAACCATTAGGAAAGAGAAGCAGAAAGGGTAGAATCTCCTAACACATAGGTTTCAAGGAGAAGGAAATTGGAATTGTGTTGAATATGAACGTAAGTAATTTTAGAAAAATAGAAAAAAAGTAGAAGGGGTGTGAAAGTCACATGAAAAGAGATAAAGAGGAAACGCTTGCTTAAATGTGTAATGAAATGCATCTATCACCACGGGAAAGTAAGAAGGAAGCTGAGAATGCCACAGAGGAGATTAACTAAGAGACAATGGTTACAAATGACCCAAAAGTACAAACACAAAGGGAACATCACGTCAGAACTCACACCAATTCTGAGTAAGGAGGAAAAGATCTAAATGTCCTGACGACTCACCCATATGGCCCTCACTTGGAATTTGCATCATCCACAGCTCTTCTTGTTCCAACTGGAAAATGATACTCGGTTTGGTGTGTTGATACCCTGTGAATAGAAAATCACAGACAACCTGGCCCCAAACTGCCTAGGGATTCAGCAGAATGGGGAAGACCCGGTTTAGAGGCGGCGTGATGAAGCTGCCCTTTTGCACTTTGGCAAAGTAAACACCATTCAACCAGCAGATTCTGATGCCAAAGGGAGAATAAGAAAATGTGGCCTCTAAATATAAGCCCCAAATCACCAAGTATTGTACAAAAGTGCCCCAGCTTTCAGCAACTAACAAGGGGAAGCCTGGAGATGACACACCCACACTCCTTTCAGGGAGGTGGTACTTACCCAGGGACACCAGGTTGCTATAGTTCTCCAACATCACACTCCTGTACAGGTGCTTCTGAGCTGGGTCCAGCAGCTGCCACTCCTCCCAGGTAAAGTCCACAAACACATCCATGAATGACAATGGTCCCTGAAACAGCATATCCCCATTCAACTGCAAATCATTTGACTGAGTTTGTAGTAGACAAAAGGCTGCTAAGAGTGTCCATTATTTACATTCTACTTTGGGAGAAAAGCAAACGTTTACTGAAAATATCCCATCAATATGCATTAAATCAGTCAACCTCTCATGCAACATATAAGAATACCGTGTGCCAGGTATTCAACTACGTGCAAGTAATATAAAATGGATGAAAGACAGAAGTGTTCAGCATTGCAGAGAACAGCAAAGATTAAACCCATAAAAATGTAACAGGCAGTCAAAGATGCTATGAGAAAAGAACATGCAGAGAACATGGGCACAAAGGGGGAAGCAAGCAATGCTGCTTGAATGCACCAGGAGCTACCACTGAAGAGAAGACGTTAAAATTTCGTGAAATAAAAAAGGCAACAGCTGTAAATAGCAATCACGGTGTGGGGTGACCGATCTGAACATGAAGATACATTGATGGTAAATCAGCATACGAAAAGATGCTCAGCATCATATATCATTAGGGAATTGCAAATTAAAACAGTGAGACACCATTACACATCTAGAATGGCTACAATTTTCAAAAATGGACACCAAACTTGAAAATGAAATTTCAAATTTATTTTTTTAAATTTACTTATTTCTATTTTTAAAATTTGGAGTATAATTGCGTCACAATATTGTGTTAGTTTCTGCTGTACAACAAAGTGAATCAACCATATGTATACATATACCCCCTCCCTCTTGGACCTCCCTCCAACTGCCACCCCCTCCCACCCAGCTAGGTCACCACAGAGCATTGAGCTGAGCTCCTGTGCTTTATAGCATGTCCCCACGAGCTATCTATTTTACACATGGTAGTGTATTTATGTCAAACCTGATCTCCCAACTCATCCTACCCTCCCTTTTCTCCCATGTCCACACATCCGTTCTCTATGTTTAAGTCTCTATTCCTGCCCTGGAACTAGGTTCATGTGTACCATTTTTCTAGATTCCACATATCAATACATGCGTTAATATACAATATTTGTTTTTCTGTTTCTGACTTACTTCACTCTGTATGACAGACTCTAGGTCCATCCACATCTCTACAAATGACCCAATTTCGTTCTTTATTTGGCTGAGTAATATTCCATTGTATATATGTGCCACATCTTCCTTATCCATTTATCTGTCGATGGACACTTAGGTTGCTTCCATGTCCTGGTTATTGTAACTAGTGCTACAATGAACATTGTGGTACGTGTCTCTTTTTGAATTATGGTTTTCTCAGGGTATATGCCCAGTAGTGGGATTGCTGGGTCATATGGTAGTTCTATTTCTAGCTTTTTAAGGGACCTCCATACTGTTCTTTTCCATAGTGGCTGTATCAACTTACATTCCCATCAACAGTTCAAGAGGGTTCTCTTTTCTCCACACTCTCTCCAGCATTTATTGTTTGTAGATTTTTTGATGATGGCATTCTGACCGGTGTGAGGTGATATGTTATTGTAGTCCTGATTTGCATTTCTCTAATAATTAGTGATGTTAAGCATCTTTTCATGTGTCTCTTGGCCATGTGTATGTCTTTTTTGGAGAAATGTCTATTTAAGTCTCCGACCCATTTTTTGACTGCGTTGTTTGTTTTTTCGATATTGAGCTCATGAGCTGTTCGTATATTTTAGAGATTAATCCTTTGCACCTTGCTTCATTTGCAAATATTTTCTCTCATTCTGAGGTTTGTCTTTTCGTTTTGTTTATGGTTTCCTTTGGTGTGCAAAAACTTTTAAGTTTAATCAGGTCCCACTTGCTTACTTTTGTTTTTATTTTCATTACTCTAGGAGGTGGGCCAAAAAAGATCTTGCTGTGATTTATGTCAAAGAGTGTTCTTCCTATGTTTTACTCTAAGAGTTTTATAGCGTCTGGTCTTACATTTAGGTCTTTAATCCATTTTGAGTTTATTTTTGTGTATGGTGTTAGGTAGTGTTCTAATTTCATTCTTTTAGCTGTCCAGTTTTCCCAGCACCACTTATTGAAGAGACTCTCTTTTTCTCCACTGTATGTTCATGCTTCCTTTGTCATAGATTAAGGTGACCACAGGTGTGTGGGTTTAGATGTGGGCTTTCTCTCCTGTTCCATTGATCTATATTTCTGTTTTTGTGCGAGTACCATACTATCTTGTTGGCTGTAGCTTTGTAGTATAGTCAGAAGTTGGGGAGCCTGATTCCCCCTACTCCATTTTTCTTTCTCAATATTGCTTCAAGATATTATCTAGTGTTCTTTTATTTCACCTGCATGATTCCCTTGAACATCTCTTGCCAAGCAAGGTGTAGTGGTAGCAAACTCTCTTTTGTTTTCTGTGAATGTCTTCATTTCTACCTCACTTTTGAAGCACAGTTTTGTCAGATATAGGATTCTTGGCTGGTAGTTTGTTTTTTATTTTTTATTTTTATTTTAGCTCTTTGAATATATGGGTTCATTGCCTTTTGGTCTCCAAAGGTTCTGATGAGAAATCTGCTTATCATCTTACTGAGGAGCCCTTGTATGAAACAAGTCATTTCTTTCTTGATGCTGTCAAGGTTCTCTCTTTGTCTCTGTCTATTGAAAATTTGAGTGCGTGTGTTTCTTTGAGTTCATCGTTTTTGCAGTCTGTTGAGCTTCTTTGATGTTTATATTCATGTCTTTCATCAAATTATCTATGTATAGTATCATGACATCTGTAAAGAGTGACAGTTTTACTTTTTCTTTTCCAATTTGTATTCTTTTTAGTGTATAGGAATGCAAGAGATTTCTGTGCACTTTGTATCCTGCAACTTTACCATTCTTCTCAAGTACACATGAGACATTTCCAGGGCAATCCACAAATTAAGTCTCAGTAGATTCAAAAGACAAATATCATTCAAAATATCTTCTCTGACTACACAGGATGAAGCTAAAAATCACTATAAAAGGGGAAAAAATGGAAAATGCACAAATTTATGGGAATTAAAACAACACAGTCCAAAACAACCAATGGATCAAAGAAATCAAAAGGGAAATTAGTAAATACTTGACTTGAATGGAAACAAAACACATCATAAAACTGATGGGATGCAGCAAAAGCAGTGTTGAGGGGAAAATTGACAATTATAAACACTTATATTTAAAACAAGAAACATCAACAATCTAACATTACAACTTAAGGGAATAGAAAAAGAACAACAAACTAAACACAAAGGTAGCAAAAAGAAGGAAATAAAAAGATTAGAACACAGATAAACAAAATAGAGACTAGTAAAACAATAGAAAAAAAATCAATGAAACCAAAGCTTGGTTCTTTGAAAAGATCAACAAAATGGATGCTTCAGGTAGATGGACTAAGAAAAAAAAGAAGACTTGAATTTTACCAAACTCAGAAATGAAAGTAGGGAAATTAGTACTGATTCTACAGAGACAAAAATGATTATTGGAAAATACTATGAACAACTGTATGCCAGCAAATTGGATGACCTAGTTGAAATGGATACAATTCCATCTTCATTTCTATCAAGATAAAATCACAAAGAAATGGAAAATTTGAAAAGATCTATAACTAATAAGGAGATTGAGTCTGTAATCAAAAGTCTCCCCAAAAAAGAAAAGCCCAGGCTTCACTGGTGAATTTTACCAAATATTTAAAGGAGTTATAACATCAATCTTTCTCAAGTTTTTCCAAAAACCTGAAGAGGAGGGAACACTTCCTAACTCATTCTATAAGGCCAGCATTACTCTGATACCAAACCCATACAAAAACACTGTAAGAAAACTACAGACTAGTATCCCTTATAAACAGAGATGCAAAAATCCTCAATAAAATAATAAGTCAAATTCAGCAGCTTATTACAAAGATTATACACCATGACCAATGGGATTTATTCTTGGAATGCAAGGATGGTTCCACATTTGAAAACTGCTCAATGTAATGCATCACGTTAACAGAATGACGTTTAAAAATGATTATCTCAGGCTTCCCTGGTGGTGCGGTGGTTGAGAGTCCGCCTGCCGTTGCAGGGGACACGGGTTCATACCCCGGTCCGGGAAGATCCTACATGCCACGGAGCGGCTGGGCCCGTGAGCCATGGCCGCTGACCCTGCACGTCCGGAGCCTGTGCTCCGCAACGGGAGAGGCCACAACAGTGAGAGGCCTGCATACCACAAAAAAAAAAAAAAAAAAAAAAAAAAAGATTATCTCAATTGATGCAGAAAAAGCATTTGATAAAATTCAACACCCTTTCATGATAAAAACACTCAACAAAGTAGGAAAAGTAGGAAAGTACCTCAACATAAAAGCTGTATCTTAACAACCTACGGTGAACATCATTGTCAATGGTCAAAGACTGAAACTTTTCCTCTAAGATGAAGAACAAGGCAAGGATGTTGGCTTTCACCACTTCTATTCAGCATAGCACTGGAAGTTCTAGCCAGAGCAGTAGGAGTAAATTTATCTCTATTCACGGCCAATATGATCCTATATGTAGAAAACCTTAAAGATTCAAAAAACAAAGCAATCCAACAACAACAGATGAGTTCAGCAAATATCAGGATACAAAATCAAAGCATGAAAATCATCTGCCTGCCTTCCTTCCCTCCCTCCCTCCCTCCCTCCCTTCCTTTCTGGCTGCATTGGGTCTTTGGTGCTGCACGTGGGCTTTCTCTAGTTGCAGCGAGTGGGGGCTACTCTTCGTTGTGGTGCACGGGCTTCTTATTGCAGTGGCTTCTCTTGTTGCAGAGCTCGGCCTTTAGGTGTGTGGACTTCAGTAGTTGTGGCACACGGGCTCAGTAGTGGTGGCACGCAGGCCCTAGAACGCAGGCTCAGTAGTTGTGGCACACGGGGTTAGTTTCTCTGCGGCATGTGGGATCTTCCCAGACCATGGATCGAACCTGTGTCCCCTGCATTGGCAGGTGGATTCTTAACCACTGAGCAACCAGGGAAGTCCCCAGCTGCATTTCTATACAGTAACAATGATCAATCTGAAAAGCAAATTATGAAAAAGATTCCACTTA